CTTTATATGCTCGTCACTCTCTCTCTCTCTCTCTCTCGCTCTCGCTCTCTCTCACTCTCTCTCTCTCTCTCTCTCTCTCTCTCTTCGCGCACACTTATATCGTTGTGGCTCTTGCTCCTCATATTTTCCTCTAACCGAGAGTTTATACCTCAGCCTTTTGAAGCAGTCACTTTTTCCACCGACGTACGCCGTGCTTATTCAATTTTATATTCGCGTATAATCCACATCGGTTTATTGCGCGGTAACACCGGGGGAAAGATCGTTGCGATTCCTATTGTATACCCCTCCTATAATCTCGGCGCTTTTCCTTTTATGAGACGTAAGACGGAAAACAAATACGACAACCGTATGTTTATTCGCTTATAATAAAATTCTGTGTTCGTAGCGATGAATCTTTCTCGGGGTTTAATTTCAGTTATACAATATATGTTTCCCGCCGAATGAAAACATCGAGCTTAATTGCTACGTAATTCAACGATCTTTATGGCGCGAATTCATCGAGGAATTTACTTTTTCCACCCGTTCGTTCAATTTTTCTTCTTCTTCTTCTTCTTCTTCTTCTTCTTCTTCTTCTTCTATTATTTTTTTTAAAGCACCCACGAGCTCGAAATAATATGTGCCTTATATTGCCACTGGAGCTTCTAGTTGTGCAGGGTTGCTTGCCTAAGAAATCCGTGGAAAAAATAAAAAGCTCTGTAAAGCAGCAGGATTCTTCTTCGTTTCAATAAAGGAGCGAGTATCCGTTCGTCTTCTCGACAGACATTATCTCGGCTATAATTTTCCACTGTGACAAGGCTAATTCGTAATTAATCCTTCATCGCGATAAATACATTAAATTCTAATTGTTACGTATAAGTCGGGCGTAAAGGCGTTTTCAACAAAACGCAAAGGGTAGCGACCGTAACTCATTACAGTATAGATTCACGTGTAAAGCGGAATCGCTGATAATGACGGATATGCGCTTAAGTAGAGCGTCGCTTCCATTTGCTTTTCACCAAGAAATAAAAAAAGAAAAGAGGAGATAATAGCCCGATGGAATCCTCGGCCGACAGTGACGTTAAAACCTTTATTCTCAATGCAGTCAAGAACATTCCGTTCACGAATGTGAACAATGAGCGGCTGCGGTAATAACGCGTGCGGCTGTTCGTCCAATTAAAAAACCATTACATATCCCCGTCTTTTGGTGCGCTCGCACGACGCCTATAATATCCTTTAGTGCAGCCAATACCAATACGCCCCCCACCCCACCCCGTTATCTATATTTCAAAAAGGGCAGAAGAAGGTTGGTCCACTCTCGCTTTGACGGTTTCCCTTGTGAGCGCACGTATTACAGCCTCAAAAGGAAGAAAGACGCGTATGGGCACTCATCCGCGTAATCTTTTATTCTTCGTGTACCCTCCGCGCGGGAGCTTTTGAAAAGTGCATCCCTTCGATGTAAGGTTGCGGGTGGAAGGAATAAACGCGTCTACATTGCCTAGGCGAGCATAAACGCACTCGTACGCGTATCGTAGGATGCGGAAGTCGTTAAAAATGTGCCGATGCACGAGGAAAATCTCCTTTTCATTCTTTCAACTATCTTTTTATACGTTCGATCTTGCTAATATCCCAACTACCATCTACACTTGTTGAGGTCAAGTGGTATGTGTACAATGTCGCTCGTAGCGTAACAAACAGCCAGCATCCTCCTAATTGCCGCAAGAGGATATTTTTCTGATTTTTCTGATTTTTTTTTTTCATTTGCAACTGACGCGATTGATGGGTGATGTTAAACATCGTTTCCTCCCTTTTTTCTGGCTCTTGCACGGACCTACCGAGTCTCGTGTGACTTTCACATTGCACAGTCATTTTCTACAATTAGTCAATGTCGGATGGCGGAAATCGTCCCTCTGAGCATTACCAAGGACGAGACTAATAAACGAAACTCGCGGATGATAATGTTAGTAAAAAAGTTGTTCGTTTAGAAAAACTGTTGTCAAACGAACGACAATAATAATCATAATTACGAATTAAAATGTATATATCGCCGCCACTCGCTGGTAAACAGTATAATAACGTATCGAATGCTTTATCCTTTGTATTTAAAATCTTTACAATTACTCAGCTGATGCAAAGATTACAATTACTAATTATATATATATATATATATATATATATATATATATATAGCAAATACTGCATTCTTAAACTAAAAGAAACAATACGTGTGTTGCTGTAATACTGTATGATTTTTCTTTCATAAAAAGAATAATTTAAATAGATCCTTAAAAATAACTTTATAAGTGTTTCAATTACATTTTTCTTTTTCTTTGTTTTTTTCTTCTTCTTTTTTTTTAAATTAATAAACCAGTTGTGGTCGCTAATAAATCATAAAATAAGATAAGACATAAATGTTTTAAATCACATTACGTACGAACTATTTAAATGAAATTGAGAACAGTAAAGCTATTTTAAATGTTGTAAAGCACAAAGCTATTTGTTTAGGCTCTAGAATACTTATTTCAGACAAATCAACTGAATAAATTCTTATTTCGTAAATATTTAAACAGTTGGCTGTATATCACTCAAGATACTAATTAATTCAACGAATCAATCCAATATACTTAATTTATATATAAATCTTCTAATTGTCATTAACTTTAAGTCAAAAATTAATTTTCTAATAACAATGTATTTTATTAACATTCTCTACCGTTACAAATAAACGTCTATTTCATTTATTATATTACACTGATAATAACTTTTCTGCTTAATTAATTACTATCGGCAAGTGCTTTTGTACTAAAATTTTTTACGTCCTCTGCCATATCAAACATAAATGAATGAAGTTAATTAATTTTCTTACACTTTTAATGGGTATTGACAATTCCGTATTATATATTCGATTACGAAACAAAACATTACCATTCCTTACTAGTAAATCTATATAAACATTAGAAAACAACGTAATAATTCATTTTAATACAATTTGTTAGTTGTGCCGTACATTAGTGATTTTTTATTATAACATTAAAAATATATGAGCCATATTTTTTGAAACTGTACAAAAAATTTTTGTAATTAATATGAAAAGAACAAGATCATGATCGTTGGGCAATAATACTTTCGATTAATATGGATGGACAATCGATCAATGGATTCAACGTGATGTGTTAAAAAAAAAAAACAAAAAAAAAAAAACGTAAGACCAGAAACAGAAGAGTATGGGTCGTCGGCGTATACCAGTAACGACGACTTTTTAACGCCGACAAACGTCTCGAGATTAGAATACAAAACTTCTTAATAATAAAAGCGCTGACATTTATGCTATTCGTGAGCTGTTTAATGACAATGAATATAGGGATAGTAATTTAAATAGAAAAACGTGATAAAAATCTGAAAAATTATACATGTGTATTCACAGGCATTGTGGTAATCGACACACATCTTGTCTATGTAAACATTTATAAAACATTGTAAATACATTAAGTGTAATGATAATTTTCGCGCGCGCGCGTGTGTGTGTGTGTGTGCGCGTAGATAGGAGCATTAATTTGTAATATTGTGAAGTTACGGGGCACGAATGTCATTTTCTAATGTTTCGTAGTATTTTCATTACAATGTGGAATGTTTTTGAATTGGCAGTTAGACGTTATACAACTTATCAGAGCATAATAATTATAACTTTGTATTAATGAAAATTAGATTCTATGGGTTTATTGCATTTTTTACAATAAAACACGATGTTGTTATTAAAACAAATCGTATTATTGTAAATCTGTGAGATTAATTAACTTTAAAGTAAACGCTAAACTAAATTCAATGCATACGCAAATAATCAACTCTCCGTTTTATTTACGATTCGCGTGATTAAAAAATTTTTTAACATATTTTTAATTATTCTTAAAGTTAATTCAAGCCATTGCATACTTCAATTAATTATGCACATTACTTATTAACGCAGCCAAGAAGATTAGTAATCCTCGAGCACGAAAGCCATGTGAAAATCAAGGCCATTGTATTTATGTAAATATTAAAAAGTAACTTCACATTTATCGCACAACAACTACTACCAACAATATTTATAAATTTTATATTACTATAAGAATGTTATATGACGGAGCGTAGCTTCAATTAGCCGGCCTTTATGCACATCGCGATAGTACTTGAATTTGTTATATTATAAGTTTGTTAAATTATAAGCGCTCTGGTAATGAAGAATTTTTATGTACTCCCGACAATTTATAAATATATCCATTGATATTCGCATCACTAAAACTTGCGACATTTTTTAATTGTCCGCGTGTCAACAACTACAATGACGATTTAACCACATTAACGACACTACGTTTTTTTAATAAGTAGCTCATATAGTATACGTATGAACAGTTGCACAATTCATTTACGTTTATCTTACATTATCGCAAAGACAGTCCACATTTATAAGGTTTATAAGAATTTATATTTCGTGAGTAAGCGAAGATTATTTAACTATTAGAATTTATATTTACCTCGTGAAAGAGAGAGAGAGAGAGAGAGAGAGAGAGAGAGAGAGAGAGAGAGAAAATTGTCACGACTTTTGATAAAGCCCAAGTCTTTGTATTGTAATACTATCTATTGCATATAACAAAGCAAAGAAATGCAACGAAATTTTTTCGTGTTTCATCATTACTATTTTATAAATGCGTAGATAGATAATTGGTCATAAACGAAGGCCACGAACGTAATTAAAATTCCAAATGACGCTTCCAAAACACAATTTAAATAATGCCAAAAGCTACGAGAATCTAACACGAATTGTCATAGGCTAACCTCAATTGCAGATTTAATCTTCACAGTCTAATCTCACGTCTCTCGCTATAATAAGCACAATGAATAAATAATACAAAACTTGCATAAATTGTACAATGAATTATTCATTATGAGGATGAAGGAGGCATGGGGATTCGCGCCCAACGCTCGGGCATTAATAGCGACACGCCTTCGACTAGGCGATCCCATCTCTTTAGTTAGTAAGGACTTACCCTGCCGACGAAGAAGCGCCTGTAGCACTTGGCCGTGTCGTCCTGGTCGATTCTCGGCTGCCAGGCCGGCTGAGCCGGTAGCATCGCTCTGCCCGCGGAGTCGAGGTTGTGTCTGTGCTCGGTGCCGTCGCACCAGTATCCCGGTGGCGTGACAACCATCGGGGGCGGCAGGGCCAAGGCCGCCGACTGCTGTATCGCCGTCTCCATCAGGGCGCGTCCGAGGGGCGCCTCGCCCACGGGCGACGGCACCGGCGTCGGCGTCCCGCTCTGCTGGGTATTGGGACTCGTGTTACTCGCCGCCGTTCGCTCATCTCGGGACGTCTGTAAGCAAGAGGATGCAGCGGTTAACGAGATCGCCAGCGAAAGCCCTGGCGACGATGGCGACGACAGCGCCGAGAGTAGCACTAGCACCAACAGCACCACTAACGGCATCGCCATACTTTTTAAGACTAGACAATGTCATTGTTGCTTCTTGGCGAGGCTGAGTTTAACGGACCACGCGCGCCTCACTTCGTGTCCGTCGGTCATCCGGCGCACTCTCTTGGCACACGAAACGAAGCGCGCGGGACTCGTACTCGTGGAGCCCCAAGGCTACGCCCGGGCCCAGTTTATCTCCGGCATACGGGGGCCTAAGTGCGGCCCGCATTATCGGGCGTATTAAGCGAAGGGGCCGGCAGCCGTATCGAATTTAGCGGCCGCGGCCCGTTCGAGCGCTTCGCGAACGAAATAGGAAAGCGTCTGGGCCGAGGAAGGGGAGAACGGAGCTTGAATTATTCGTCGTAAGACCTTATCGCCCCAGTGTGACCCAAATGCGCGTCACGTTTCAGGAATTTTCCGAAGGAATAAAAATGAAGAGAAAACAAAAGCGAATATGTACCCAGAGGGAGAACCTCGAGGTAAAAGCGATCTTCGCCCGTTCGCGCATCGTCGGGCTTTTTGAAAGTTTTCGCGGATATAAATAGAGAGTTTGGACAAGGGAAGGCTGACGAAGGCGAGCAAACAGCTCTCATCGCACTACTACGGCAATATCGAGTGTTCATCTCTCATTCTCTCGGTCGGCCGAGCGCAATAAACCCAATGTTTATATTATCTTATCGTAACTGTACTATTGTTCGCCGCCGTCGCCGCCACCGCCACCGCCACCGCCACCGCCACCGCCACCGCCGCCGTCACCGGCACTCGCTGTGGTGGGAGAGAAGGCCTCTCGTTCGAAGCATTACGGGACTTTAGTGTTTTCCGCGTGCGTTTCGCGGACGCGCATCACGAAGCCTTCATTTCTTGCCTACCGTCGTTCCCTGAATTTTCACGTGCGTTTTTTGCCGCCTCGTGCCCGCCGCTCTGCACTTTGTAAGCTACGCGCGCTATTAAATTAACAAGGAAGAAAGGGGGCATCGTTAGATGGGACTTTTTGTATGCCGCGTAATTACACGTGTACGCGCCATGTCTTCTTCATGCTCACCTTAAAATACCGGCTTTGAATATTTAAGAGGCATTGGGTATGCAATGTTACGCGATTCGCTTAGTGAGAAATTTCCATGTTCTTTCATCTAAAGTTCAACACGAATCTTGGAAATTAAATTGTCTTGGCGACGCAGGCAATTGAATTTGCTCGATCGATTTGCTTAACGATCCTCTACTATCCGCTTGATATGTATGATTTGCATTAGTGATATGGCAAACCGCTTTCAATGTTGCAAACACGAATATGATCAATTTATTAGTGAGATATGAAAGTAATAGTTGTTATAAAACGCTCGATATAACAAGGGCAAACATTTGATTTAGCTGGGAATGGAAATAGCATTCGAACGAGCGGAGCTCCTCCAACGTTCACAAAATTTATATTGCATTAAAAAATAAGAACGTATTCGTCGACCAATCGTTTGTATGATAAAACTCCGTGTAGGCGTGTATGACATTTCAGACGTAAATGCCATACGAGCATATGAACAATTGATTTGGTTAAACATTCGCATAATGGAGTATCCTTGCTAATTATTAGCGAGAAAAAATCACACACCAAACAACGTCAGCTTATAGCAAAAAAAAAAATAAATAAATAAATAAAAATAATAATAATAATAATAATAATAATAATAATAATAATAATAAAAGGCAAAGAAGATGAAGATGAAGAATATGTAAAAGGCTATGAATTATTGAGTCCGAATTTCTATTCGCGAAATCTCGAATTTCAACAAAATGTCTGAGCCATAAGCACGACGCTACAGGAAGCCAAGACTGCGCTTTCGTAGTTGCGAATTCGATGCCGTGCGCACTTCCGCCATAGCAGCGAATAAATATAGTACGGTGAATTTCGCCGCTTTAACCATTCGGCATTCAATGCTAATTAATCGCAGGTGCGCAATCGTCGCACGATATTACGCCAAACGGAATATGCAACATTCGAGCTGGACTGGGGGCCACGAGGAAAGAAGGCTAATTTATTATCAACGGTTTGTCATTGTACTAATTAGTCAAAAAAACAAAAAAACAAAAAAAAAACAAAAAAAAAAAACAAAAAAAAAAACAAAAATAGAAATAATAGAACCATTGGAATGGTTGCTCGATGGGCTCCAATCGGTAACCAATAATATGCTCGATTAATTACGAAGGCAGCCGCACTTTTCACGTGCCAAGGGGTTCTCGAGAGGCACGAAGGCTTGCTTCTCTACTCCGCTTGGCACCCCCGTCGATCGTCGAGCATTGTCGAGGAATCCCAGTGGATTGATTGGCGGAGGAGGGAAGAAAGCGCGGATAGGAAGTCCCCGCTACGTGCTCAACGCGCGCCCGACTTTTTTTCATCGGCAAATCCGAAGGACGATGGAGAGTTTCGGGGAAGGCAGTTATCGACGGAAGCTTTTTTGCGAATAGCAGCGGGGTGGAGGTGGGTGGGCAGGAGAATCATGAGCCGATCTATGATGGGAAGGGGCGGGGAGGGAGAGGAGGAGGAGGAGAAGGAGGAGGAGGTGGCGGAATGGAGGAAAAAATTACGCAGCTCGGGCGCGTAATGACCGCTGCGATTACGATTATCGCGTGGCCCTGGCTCGCCCTGAGAAATGTGATTCCTCGGACGAGTTTTGCGCGCAGGGCAATTTTCGAGCTTGCGCTGCGGAAAATTGAGGAATCGCTCGATTGCGGCCAAGCGACGAACGCTCTGCCCGTAAGATAATCATTACGGTCGCCGCTAAAGTATGCGGATGGACTCGGTGCGTGACAGAAAAATGATTTTTTTGTGTGTGTGCGTGTGCGCGTGCGTGCGTGTGGGAGGGAGGTAGAGAAGATATACGAGTGGTGAGGGTGAGCGGTAGGGAGGGAATGAGGGATGGAGGGGGAGGGGGGGGGGGGGGGGTCGCGAAAAATTCCAATTAATTTGTGGTGGATGGAGGGGCGTGGGGGGGGTTGGCGGCGGAAGGGCGAGCTGCATTTCGTACGTTTCCTTCCGCCGACGAATTGCTCTTTCATAACGGTGGAAAAATAAAAATGCGTAGGTGCTGTCAGTATAGCCCGTATGGTGGATTGGTCGAACTCTGACCACATAAATATAAAAGCGCCATCGCGCGCTCTCCATCTGTCCCGATGACTTTTGAAGTGGCTCCTCTATCTGAGCTTTAACATATCGTTTGACGCCTATTGGGATCGCCTTGGGACATTGGCGAAATAAACATAAAGCGGGCGGCGTACGTAAGTATAATAGGACTACCGGCTACGAAAATAATAAAATCTACGAGTCATAAATTTTTTCCCACCCATTGTGCGATGCGTGCGAGCAAGAAGCAGCTGAAATTGTTAACGGTTCTTTCTTTCCCCATCGCTATGCAGTGGCGTCACTTAACGTAACTTTTCCATTCCTTAAGAGGAAAACCGTCGAACTACGGGCCAGAATATAAAAATCTTGGATCGCTTTGTAAAAAAGCATCGCCGTGCAAAAGGAGAAAAGTATCGACACGCTCGATTTCTGCACTATTTTTGTTTTTGTTTTTGTTAATGTTTTTTATTTTGGTCTTCTCTTTTTTGACTTTTTAGTTGTAGGGGAGAGAAAAATTGCACGAGCCTAAGCTATTGCGGTCGAGCGCCAAGAGTCTTTGATGACTTTTTTTCTCTCTTTATTATGACTCATGCCGTTATGAATCGCACTCGTTCTTCATCGCGGCCCCGAATCACTCGATGATTATTAACGCGTCGGATTTACGATTCGCTCCGCTCTGCGACCAAACAATATGGAGTCATCCGGGACTGGCGCGAGCGTAGTTTAAAGAAACGGGGACGGCGGCGTTTCCTCCATCGATTAAATAATTACCTGAAAATTGTTCACCGGACTATGAAGGCCGAAGTGTGGTTCTTCGGCGCTGCCTTTTCCCGACGAAACGTTTAAAAAGCACGCGAAAGTGCCATGGATGGGGAAATGTATCCGCGGCAATTAGCGCTTTGATCGTGGAGCGATAATTAAATGAGGCGCGGCTCTGTCGACAACGTCTCTCCCCCACCCCTCAACCCCACCATCTCATCCGATCATCCTGCCCATTTCACTTCCTTCCGTATTCACTATTAGCTATTTTGATTAATTCAGACTGGATGAAGAGGGTTCTCGCCTCGAATTATCATGTTTTCGACAGGGCGTGCCATTGTGCCTCCATTTGTGCTGGAGAAGGAACGCAATTTTTTTTTTTTTTTTTTTTTTTTTTTTTTTTTTTTCAGGATTTGCTAATTCGAATTTTTACGCAGCTAATTGTAGAGGAATGTTGAGTGGGGATTTTTTGGGTCACTATGTTCATCACGGCGAGTTTCCAAAAGTTCTTGTTAAAGGGCCACGGGGAAAGCAATTAAATATGTGTTTCAGTGTGTGCGCAACGATTTTATCTCGAGCAACGAACAATTCGTTATTAACGCGATCGCTTCATTACTATTCAAATTCGAATTTTTATTATCATCGATTTTACGTTCCAAGGAGAAGATTTGATGAAAGGTCCTTAATGTCCTCAACGTGTCAATTTAATTTACCTAATAAGATGATAATCGCACTTTTAATGCGTGCGTTGTCAAACAAATATACGTTACGATGAAATCTCACGGCACCGTTAATTTTCATTTGAATTTAAAGCGAAATTAGAACACACTATTTTAAAAGTCTCCGTAAATTGAGTGGAATAGTACTTGGGTCGGGCGAGTTAACGACACTCTAATAACCAATTGACGAGTATCTAAGAAAAGCCAACTAAATTTATATTTTAATCTAAAAATCGACATCAAAGTATAATACCGACGATACGGTGGATTCGAGCAGGAAAGCCGTCGCCAAAGGTTTGTCTTTGGAGACACAA